GTAGTTGCTGGGGCTGTGGCCATCGTTGTGGCTTGGCCTGTGGTTGTAGTGACGGCATTTACATGTAGTCATACAAATGTACATTAATCTATTCTGAGTCACCATTCCGAAATCAGTCCGTAATATGTTTATGTCCTCCCAATTCAAATATCATGTCATGAATTCATTGCAACAGTTAACACAAGAAGTTTTAGTAATTCTTGTGTTTCATATAAATTGCCTACTCAAGTAATCTATGATACCCTGTAGAGCTAAATAATTTTTACAGTAGAACCAAGACTGCTGTCAAAGATGAGTGAATGCTGACCCAAAGCCAGCAGCCATCCCCTGTGCTTCAACACGTAACAACAGCAGCCATGCGCACTCATGCTACAGCCTTCGTATTTCCCTCCCATGTTTTTTCAGTAGAATTACTGTGGTAATTGTTTTGAAGTCTCTTTGTGTTGCTTTTTATTTTTGTTTTATCATATTGGTTTTGTGTTTATACATAAATGATAAGAGATCATACGTGTTCTCATTAGGATAAGGATTTGGTTGTTGTGTGGGAACATCGCCTATAGTTTTATATTGTTAAATGTTATATTACAACGTGTTTTAAGTCATTTTACAGAGAAACGCAAAAAGTACTGTCAAGAGTAGTGCAATAAATACTTCCTCCTTGGAGTAATTAAGTTACATATTGCATTAAATACATTACATAATACCTTTTAGTACTTAATATATCAAGTATGCTTTTAAGTAAAATGTTCTGTGTAATATATGTAATGCATTACTCTTTTTTTTCAGTAATTACGCAACACCGATACGGGTGGGAATTGATAAGAATTTTGCAGTTGTGATTCTATTATTATTATCACTTATCGATTCCTTATTCATTCCCTTTGGCTCCACTTCACGATCTGCAGACCATGTGGAGTGGAGAATAGTGGACCCAAACGCAGACAAAACGAAGCGTGGAAACAAACTTCATTTAACCTAGCCTAACCCAAACTGAAAAAGAGCTGTTTTATTTGATGCTGAGCAAACCAATAACAAACAGTAAATGTCAACTCTACTGAGGCAGCATGGAGCGGAGAGAATGTGGACCCAAATGCAGTTGATATCATATGGTTTCTCATCTACTAAAGAATCAAGAGGCGGTTTTTGCTGCTTTAGACAAACTAAGGCACAAGCTACTCATTTTAACTCCATTAGAGCTGGTAAAACTCCAAAAGCTGGTGGCTGTCCTTGACCCATGCAGATATTTTTTAACTTATTGGTACTGTTTCTTCAAAAAGCTCTGTAGTTGACAATTATTGCGTAGATTAATAATTACTTTCTTGAACTGTCTACTACAGGTTTGTGACTGAGCTTCTTGGAGGTGAGACATGTGTCTCATGTTCAGTGGTTCTACCTGCTTTCTGCCACCTGCATCACACCATCGAGGTCTCCTTTGATGACTTAAACTACATGGTGAAATTTAATACTGCCCTCACAAAGGACCTGTCCCAATGTGTAGCTACACTCAACCATCAGTGGCTCAAGATAGCTACTGTCCTTGACCCATGCTTTAAAGATTTAAAGTGACTTGCAAGGGGAAGAGGTTTGGACCAGCCTTGAGGCCCTACTGCAGGAAGCGTGTAAAGATGCCACCACAAAGGAGCCAGCAAAGGCAAAGAGCCTCCTCCTCTCTTCATTGTCTTCAGACTCTTATTCAGATGAGGAAGCCCTGTGTAACAGGGCCCTGAGTTTGTGCAGAACAGAATCCACCATTAGCAAGAAAGACTGCCCGCTGCAGTGGTGGTCCAGTTGAGCATGGACCCACCCACAGCTGTCTGTCCTGGCCCACAAGTATTTGATTAGTCCTGCCTCTTCTGTCCCATGTGAGAGACTGTTCTCACTTGCAGGTCACATAGTAACAAAAAAGAGAGCTGCCTTGAGAAAATGTGAACACTCTAGTTTGTCTAAGTAACTGGCTGAAATAGATGGACAGTAAATAAGCATGGACGTACTGTGAGTCCAATGGGTTTGCTATGTTTTGCACTAAAATGTTTGATGATCACACTGTTTTAGCCTAATGTACAAAATAATTTTGGCTAAGGTTACTCAGAGTTTAAAGGTGAAGCTGTTCAAGTACCCTTTTATGTTTCTGGCTTATTTTGTTTAAAAAGAAAAACTGCACTTTATGTTGACAGTTTTCATTATTATTTAAAGACAATACCATTTTGAAAACGTACTTAAACTACTTAAAATAGCACTTTATTTTTTACGTCTGCCCAATTTTGGCCAGGGATATTATTTTTGTTTCTCTGTTTTGCAGTTTAAATATTTTTCCCCCAAAATTAAAAGAGCTTGAGTTTACAATATTCATGTCCATGTCTTGATTCTTTCGCCCACTAAATCCCTTTTAAATAAAAAAAAAACCATTTGCGCTTTGGGGCAAATTTTCTTGTGCGATTAAATGCGATTAATCATGGTTAATTAATTACAATAACTTCTATAAAGTAGAGTAAGATAAATATGGTACCCTAAATATTATTATTTGCTCTCTGACAACATCATAATGTGAAGTCTGGTTAAACTTTCAAGGGTCATATCACATTGTGGCATAGATAGCTGGCCAAAATTCATTACTGCATGAAAGGTCTCACTTCTATCCACATTTTCATGGAAAGCAACTTTTACCTATTATTCCTTCTGTAACACTCTAAAATAATCTCTTAATATAATTATTTTTACACTGAATTATATTGTTTCTTAAAATTGTAAAATAATAATAAGAAATTAGTTAATTGATTACAGTAATTAATAGAGCCGAAATGGATTTTCTCGGCCTTGAAAATGTTACAAGGTTTTATTTTATAGCTTAATGTTATGAGGGCTCAAAAACATTGGACAAAAATAGGAAATTTCAGCTTAGTAATTACATTTTAAGTTGTGGTAACTCCAAATACTTTAAAAGTATGAAGGCAATATTTTGTACTGCTTCATTGAATATGATAAGGCTGTATCAAAGCTGATTATGAGGGGGCTTAGTGGGAACCTTTTAACCTTTTTCAGAAATTAGTGATTTTAAATGGAATGATCCATGTGTGCTGTGTTACTGCATACTGCATACTGAGTATGAGGGACACCACTCAAGAGAGAGAAGCTTTCTCTCTTGACTCTCACAGACAAGAGCGAAAGAGACAGACAGAGAAACTACACTGTTTTTTTTTTTTAAAGCAAAACTTTCAACAAGTATGCAAAATGTCCTCATCTCATCTATACCACACTCAAAGTTGTTACTAAACCCACTTTTTGTAGAATTTTTTTTTTTTTAAATGTAGAAATTTGGCTTCATCTTGCATCACTAAGTACAATTCACCTAGATTGTACACATTGAACTCAAGGTAATAAGTGCCTAACCATTAAAGTATTATAACAATCAGTGTTCTTACAGTCTACATATTGTCTGTAGCAATTATTTATGAGGTTATATATAGCTATGCTAAAGCAGTTCATTTATTTTGTATCAACAGTAAGTTTAGTATCACTTAACTTACCTATAAGAAGCAACAAAATTGATATCATCAGTCCAACGGCCATTGTTTAATCAGTTAAATCTGTAAAAGAAACATATGTCAAGGTTATGCGCACAGATAAATAAACAAATTTTTTAAAAAAACGAGTTAAAAACTCAGGATAACAGAATTTTACAAAAATACAAAAGGTTTTGATCATTAACTGTACTCATCATAACACTTCTCAATAAAAAAAACTGTGTATGACAATTTTAAAATAACATATGTAAAATAATTCGTTAGGATTAGTTTAACAACTTAGTGAAAAAATGAAAAGTCATTTTCACAGTATATGAAATCTATTTTGTATATTGTACTTACCAAAACTGAGATCAGATGAAAATGTATTAATTCTCTTTCTGTTTTTTATCTCCTGTAGATATTCACCTCTTTGCTCTGTTAAACCTTATGTTCACACCTCTTGTGGCCTTATATAGTTCAGAAGAGTGAGGGCTAATGACGTATGTGAGAGATGATAGAAGAGATGAAAAACGTCACATCACAGGATTCACAAGTTTGTCAAGTGATCAACCTGAAAGTTTCTTGGCTCAGGATCACAGCCTCTCCCTTCTTTTTGTTAGTGACCTCAGTTACTCATGGACGTAGAGGCAGACAAACAAATAATGAAATTCAGTAGAGCGAAAAGCAGTTGGAAGAAATGTAACATAATCAAAGTAAGCAGACATCTTTGTTTATTATAGAGTATGAGTTTTCAAAATGTTTTCACTGTACCTTGTAATACGAAACGTTTTTGGTTTTTTTAACTGGCCTTTTTCTGGCTTTATTTGATCTATTCAGTGAAGAGTGACAGGGAAGCAGACAGAGAGTGGAAAACGAATTTCCATGGGTCAGATTCAAACCCAGACTGCTAGCTCTCAACCATGTGGCAGCCTGCTCATCCCAGTAAGCTAAACCAGCAACCCAACACTTTTTACACTTTTTAACAAAGTGATATAGTCTGATAATATGTTGTGAGCTCAAAGCATCACAGGTAAATTTCCTCATATTTTTCCAAGTAACTGAAAACTTATGAAGTCAATATTATCAAGTGCAAAATTATAATATTTAACAAATTGAATGGCTCCGTACTTTGCTTTTAGTCTGTATAGTGAAAAAAACAGCATTTTTATATTTCCATTCTAATAGTGTTTTTACTATTAGAGATATTTGTCTCTACATATATACCACACTCATTTGCCCAAAAATGAGGACTGATAATGCATTCAAATTTAACTCCTTTCTCATATTTTCAAATTACAGTTTTCTTGAAGAGTTAAAAAAATAAGGATAAAGAAACAAAGAAACAAAAACGAGAAATTAAGAATATTGGTCCAGCTTAACAATTGTTTGTTATTTTTATGTATTTTATCCATTGCTACATCAACTCAATAAGCAGTTTACTTATTAAATCGTTAAGTAGGCTAAAGGTTTAGTGCTATTGTCAGCTAAAAAAAAATCTAAAAACAGTAAATCTTTTCTTGAAATTCCATTGTCTCCGGTTAAGCCTTTAAAGTTCTATGGCATCGTAAAAAAATTATTGGAAATATTTGAGTTATGTGTAGTCTTCACATAGACACAATGTATACCCTGCTTACTCTGGTGTATTCCACACTCAAAGAAACAAACAGACAGTATTTTGTACACTAAAATAAATACCAAATTATTAGGTCTACCTTGTACCTTAACTGCCTTTTGTTTTTTAATGCATTGGCACATGGCTCACAATATCTCAAACTCTAACATGAAAAAATGAAGCTCCTGGTGCATTTTTTGTGTTAATGTTCATGCAAAAGAAAGTTTGGAAATGTGGTTATTGAGTCAGCAGAGCATTTGTGACCTTCGTGCACTATGTCTCAGCAGTAAACAACCACTCTTAAATGATCTGTCATTTTGTAGCTGAATACGTGTGGTTCCTAAACACTTTAATTTTGCCATAACACCAGTTACACTTGATCATGTAATATCTAGAAAGCAGGAAATTTCACAAACTGACTTGAGATCAGTTAATCTTCAAAGATTGCAGCTGAGTCTGTTTGCAAGACCTGCCGGAAATAACTTTGTTCTTGATTGGTGGCTTCAGTATTTAATGGAATCTGTTCCACTTTTGAGTTACTGAACCTCATTATGTGGGTTTGAATCAGCCAAGGAATATACAAATTATGGTATCGCCAATCTTCAAAGCTTGCATAAACTGCCTAACAATAAGGTTCAGGACTGATTTAATACCGTAAACACTTGAACAAACATAAAGAAAGGCCTTTTGTCTGGATAAAAGTAATCATCCTTTATTAATAAGCATTATTTATCCATGAATGATGCTTGAGATCTAGTATGTTATGTAAGCAGCTGTTTTTACATTTACTTTTCGAATCGAGCAGGTACATGTGCGTCACTTTCACTGTTGTTTATAACAAGGTGGGGTTCTTTCTTGTGAAACAACTTCATGCCAGTGAACAATCATGTAGACAAATGGCATCTATCACATTGTTTTCAAACCATTTCTAATCCACTCAGATTTAATTCTGACCTTTTAGTTTGTGATTTAAGGACAACTGACGTGTTCTACAAAGAAACATGAAACTTAATTAGATGTATAGCTACATTTAGCACTTAGTGCACTTTAGTTAATTCCTCTTAGCTTCTTTTAAGACAAAGTGCAGCAAATCGGAGAATATGAAAGAAAAATAAATCTGCAGCAGACAGTCAGTCGTACCACACAGTAATCCTCATGCACTACTGAGTTTATTAATCTTAATACATGTTGATGGACTCAAGACATTTTAAGACTCAAGAGGTTTATTGTCATTTCAAATGGTGTCACATGACTTTGACTCGACTCGAGTCATTAATTTTATGCTTTAGAGTTGACTTGAAAAAATGTTCCAAGACTTGTGACTTGACTTGGACTTTTGTACCAATGACTTGGGATTTGACTTGGACTTGAACCTGTTTACTTGAAAAGACTTGATATTTTACCCCAAATCTAAAATTTAACACACACATATTATATAAAAAGTGCACACCATTAATTAATTTCATTATTTCATTGATTCTTTCCACACTCCACTCCACTGTGTGTGACATGCAAGAAGAGAATCACAGATGGAGATGGAACAACTTCCAACTTTGTCCGACATTTGAAGTTGCATAAAGAATGGTGGGTGGTACTTTTCTTTTGCTACGATGAGATAGCTGACATAGCTAACTTCATCTTATTAGCAAATGTTCTCTGGGAAACATTGATGATACTGTTTGGCTTTAAAATTTATGATATTTTTGTCATGCTATTTTAAATCCGGTCCTACAAGCTCATTCAAGAATAACATGCAGCTTGTTAGTTCAGAATTGTCAGTGAATGGTGAGCGGGGGTCGACTAGAAAGTGGGTTCTGTACCTGAACTCAGGGAATAGAGTTTCTCTCTGTCTCCCTCCCATCATTAAACCCATAGATTTAATGCAGAGTTTTGAGAAAAGTGTTTTAATAAACCAATAATCAAGTCACGTAGACTTGATTATTGGGAAATAATTGTCTATTGTGGAAAACACAAAGCACTTTCCGACAGTAGTTGACGGCAAATACAGCAAATATGTCGCAGAACAATTACATCAAAAACAGAGAACCTTGCTGATGAGAAACGTTCAATGTTAAAAACTCAGTTGAGCGACACTGATCATGTTTCAGTTACTGTGGACATTTGGTTGGACCAAAAGATGAGGGGTTTCCTTGGTATCACTGTGCACTGGATACAGAAAGAGACAGAGAGAATACAGTTGAAATCCAAACTGCTGGCCTTTAACCGCTCCAAAGGATTACACACTGGTGACAGAATCTGTGAGAAATTTTAAGCTAAATGTGACGAATACAACATCAAAGACAAACTAGACTATATTATTCGTAACAATGCTGCCAATATATGAAAAGCATTCACTGTGTACTTCCTCACTGAGCAAGGTGAGAAACATGATAATGATGGTGATCATCTTGACAATCCAGAGTTCTGGCATGATTGTGAAGACAGTTAAACTTGTCAGGTAGTCCAGCTCCTGAAGCATTTGAAGTGTTGGAATGTGGAAATTTCAACATTGCTTGAAAAAACTGCCAGCTAGCAACGTCCCTCTCACCGGTAGGCAATGTTCCTTCTAAGCTGCGCACGTGCGCAATTGCGCACTGCTGGCAAGGTCTCTGCGCACAGAAAATCTGCGTTGCGCACAAAAAAAAAAATCTAACCTGAATTGAAATTGAAATTAATACTTTAACAATTCTGTGTTGCAGTGTTAGTCAGTAAGTGACTGGCTGCTCCTGTATGGCATTAGAATGATGCCACCTTATCCCATAGTCCAGGCAATAATGCGATTCACATTCGTATATACGCAGCTAATCAACGTCGTTGACAGGCTATGACAGCGTCCTTATGTGCCGACACCGGTGTTTTAGCTAGCAAAGCGGCGTGGCTGATGTGGAGTGAAGCAAAGTTAATGACAACGTGTACAACCATTGGAGATGTGAGCAGGACAGACGGAACAATTGACGGAAAAAGTGTGGACTTTATACCAGTTTTGATTTTGTGTTGAT